TTTATTTAATAATAATATAATATTTTTTTTCGATATTTATCCGGTATTTTTATAAATATATTTTAATTAATAAAAGCGTATATAAACGCGTTTATTACGTTATATTATATTAATTTAAAATTAAATTTTGCTATAATCGCAATTAAAATGCGAAATAATTTTTTAGCTAATATAACCGCGTAAATTTTTTAATTTTAGGATTTCGCTTATTAATTACCGCGAATAACGAATTTTGCCTTATATTTTTAAAATTTCCCGTATTTATCGAATTTATATACGTATATTTATATATAATTAAAGATTTATTTACCTTTTATTTGTAAATTTTTTTTATTAATTTCGGTTTAAAATTATATATTTTTATAATTTTATAAATAATTAGCTTTTATTTAAAAAAATAATTTATTAAATAAATAATAATATAATTTATAATATTATTTAAAAAAAGCTAGGATTTCCGTTTTATAAATTTTTATTTTTTAATAAAAAAAAGCGTTTTAGCTTCGCTTTATCGTTTTAATTATTATTTTATTTTATTTTAAAAATAGCTTTATAATTAGTTAAAAAAGCTGCTTATTATAAAATTATTTTAGGTTTTTTTTTTAATAACGCCGTATTTTTAATCGTAATCGCCTTTATATTATATATTAATAAAGCTAATAAAAATATTTATAATAAAATTTAAAAAATAAATTTCGCGATAATAAAAAGGTATTATTTATTTTTTTTATTTAGCGTTATTTTTTTATTTTTTTAGTTATTATTTTTTTTTAATTATTTTAATTATCGTTTAGCAAAATATTTTTTATAGCGGTTTTTTATTTTTAATTTTTATAAAATTTCGTTTTTAAATATTACGTAATTAATTACGAAATCGGCGATAAATTAGGTATTAATATTTAAAAGCTTATTTTTAAATATATTTTATTTTTTATCGTATAATTTTTTTTCGTTTATAATTATATTTTTTATATTAATTAATTTATTTCGATTAAAAATTTAAATTTTATAAATATTAAATAATTTATATCCGATTAAGTATTTTATTTATATTTTAAATATTAATCGTTATAAACGGCCGAATTTTTATTATATCGTTAGCGTTATTGCGTACGTTTTATATCCGAATATTTTAAAATAAATTTAATTAGGCTTATAACTCGGATTTAGGATTTTTTTTGCTTTTATAATTATTTTATAAAATTTTATATATAATATGCGTTATCGGGAATTATAATTTAGCGTACGATTATATAAATATACCGCGGTTTTACTAATTTTAAGCTAAAATTAATAAAAGAGTTTTACGCTAATACGCATTATATATTTTTTTTAATTATACCTTTTAAGCGTTTAATAATTTTATTTTAGGCTTATATATATAATGCTAAAAGCTCGAATTTAATATATTTATTTTTAAAATATTTTCCGATTACCTATTTAATTTTAATAATTTCGTTATTATATTCGATAATTTTAATTTTAATATTATATTAAGTTTTTATTATATTTAAAAATAATCGGAAAACGTTAATTAATATAATAATAATTTTTTCCGTAAAATAATAATTTTATATATATCCCGTTTACCGATAAATAATTAATATTTAGGATATATAATTTTCGATTTTTTTAATATAATTATAAAAATTTATAGCTAATTATTCGCTATAATTTTCGTTAATTAGCCGTAGCGTTTGCCGTAATTAGCGCGTAATTTTTATAAATACGTAGGTTTTATATTTTATTATAATTAGTTTTTTAATTTTTACTTTTTAAAATAAATAAATAAAATATTCGAAAACTACCGGGCCTAAATATTTTATTTTATAATATTATTATATAGCTTTTTTAATTAATAATAGCCTTTTTATTTATATTATATATTTTTTCCGGTAAATAATAAATAACGCTAAAGATAATTCGTAAAATTTATATTCGAAAACGTATTATTTATATTAATTTTAAAATATATTAATTAAAAATTTATTTTTTTACGTAATATTATAAAATCGTTTTTATTATTTTAATAATATTTTTATTTTTGTAATTAACGGAATAATACTAATATAATTAATAATTTAAAATAATAAATTATATTATTTAATAATAATATTTTAAATCCGAGCTATATAATTATTATACCGTATCCGTAAATAAATAATTTCCGGTCGCTTAATTAGATAAAATCGTAATTAAAAGTTTATTTATAATTAATAAGCTTTATTTTTATATTTATAATTAAAATTATTATTGCTAAATTTAAAATAACTAAATAACGTAAAAAATAATTTTTTATAAATATTATAAAATTATTTTATACGTTTATTATTAATCGTCCGTTTTATTAATTTATATTAATTAAAAGCGATTTTTTCTTAATTATTCGTAATATATTAATTTAGCTAATTTTAATCCTTTTTATATTACGAACCTGTTTTTATAAATTAAAGTTTTTTTTAAAAATTTTATTTATTCGTGTTTATATTTTATTTTTAAAAATAAAACTTAAATAGGCTTTTTTTAAAAATATATAAAAATATAAATTAAAAATATAAAAAAATAATAAATAAAATATTTAATATTTTTTGCTTTTATTATAAGTAATTTATTTACCCCTTTTTTACGTAAATTAGCCGCATTTAATCGGGGAAATATTTAATTTTTAATAAAATAAATATCTTTATTTTATCCGTTTTAAAGCTATTTATTAGCTTTATTAATATAAATTATAAAAGCGCCTTTTTTAATTTTTAGCTTAATCGGCTATTAAATATTTAAATTTTTACGGAAATTATTATTTATTACCCGATATTTTAAATTTTTATTTAAAATACTTTATTTTTTATAAATTTAATAAAAAGCAATTTATTATAATATAATTAAAATAACGGTATTTAAAAAGTTATAGCCTAAACCGAATTATTTTATATTTTAATTATTTGCTTTACTTAGGTTTTTGCTATAATTATTTTTTATTTATTAATTTAATTCATAGTTTTTTTTTAATATTTTCGGAGGCTTAAAAGTTTTAAAATATTTTTTTTTTATTTTTTTTTTATTATTTAAAATTAATTTATTATAATAAGCCTTAAAATTTTTATATTATTTATATAAAGGCTCGTTAATTAAATAATACGTAAAAAAAAAATTTAAAAAAATCGTAATAATTATTTATTTTATAATTTTTTTAATCGCCGTATATTGCTTAGCGTATATAGCTTTTTTTATTTTATAATAATTATAATCGAAATTAAACGATTTTTAACCTTTTTTAATAAAATCCGTTATTATTTATTTTTTATTTTTTTTATTTTAAATATTCGGATCGTCGCTTTCGTTTATAGCTTTAAAAATCGCTACCGCAGTTTTTATATATTTAATTTTTTTAATATCCGGTTCGATTAAGGTTTTAATTAAAATCGTTTTATTTTTAAAATAATTAATTAATTTAGCAATTTATGCTTAAATTTAAAATATATATTCCTAATTATTTTAATTAAAGGTTATTTTTAATAATACCGTTAGACCGATTCCGGTTTTTTTTATAATTATTATTTTTATAGCTTCGGCAAAGGCATTAAAATTTTTAATTATTAATTAAAATAATATTTTCCTATTAAAATTTAAACTAATTTAATATTAATATTAATTATATAATATATTAATTTATATTTTGCGCTTTTTAATTTTAATAAAATATACGCTTATTTAGGTGGCCCCGGCTAATCCCCGGGAAATCCCGTATATTTATCTAAACACTATAGTATTAATCCGTATGCTTAAGCATACGCTAGTATATAGGAACCATAGTCCACCATCTGATAATAAGTTATAGAGTCTGTTGCTGAAGATAACACTATGGGGCTGAAATTAGATTATGCGCAAGGATCCATTTGATAAGATGGCGTCATTATGGTCTTGCAGATTATGTATGTAGTCTTTTCTCACAGCACACCTCAATTCAGCGCGGGTGGTCATTGTAGAACTCTAGCTGCGAAAAAGCTGCAGGAAACCAAAATTTGCTATCATATGCATACAGCAACGACTTCTGAATTCGAGGCAAAATAACACTATAAACATAAATGCGGTACAGAAGGATCGGACGACCAAAAGTCCAAGACATCTTGCCGGCTGATATCTCCTCCTTTCTTCACCATTGATATCGGAAGTGGATATTCTCCTGATCTGTAAAATCCTTGAAATCCGTATCGAGGTGCACCCGCTCCCCTGCTGCCGCATCTACAGCGTCTCTTCTCCGGTTCTCCCACCAACAATACGAGGCGTAGGCAATAATGGTCAGCATAGACAAGACATAACTTCCCAAGATGGAGCCCATGCCAAGTGAATAAAGAGGCGCCTGCTCCGTCTTGAAGAACTGCGGAGCAATAATGTTTGAAACACAGTATGCAATAAAAATCAATGCATTCACTGTGACTTTCTTGGTATGCCCGGCAGTATTCGCTGTGATGATACCGAGACTGACAATGTAGGGGCCGAGATAGAAGTAAGACATGTAGAGCGCGGCGAGACGTCCGTTATAGTTGTCGAGAGGTAGCGTATAGAGGAACACTGACGAAATCATGCCGACAATGATTCCAAAGATAATAAAGGCTGAACGGAACTGCTTTGTGGGAAAGTACTTGACGCAGAGAAAGACTCCACCGTTGCAAATATATGAAGACATGGTCTGCATGATTCCCGTTGGCATGGTGAGAAGGACGGATCGTTGTGAACTGTAGCCCAGCCCCTTGATGATGAGTGGCGCGAAATTGGTGAGACCTCCATTAGGAATATTGATCCAGATTTGAAAAAGGAACATCAGCCACGTCTTTGGATCCAGAAAAGCCTCAATCATTTGTTGTTTCTTGAAGGTCTTGTTCTCGACACCAGTCTGGTCTTCGCGGAGTCGGTCAATGACGATGGCCTTTTCTCGCTCGCTCACGAATTTGGCCTTGACCGGGTTATCTGGAAGCAACAATCCAATGACACATGCCCATACAATGGTCATTGCTCCGGTGATCCAGAACATGGTCCTCCATTGATGCTCCCCTGAGAGGAAGCCGATGCCCCAGCCAATCGGACCGGTGAAGCAGACGGAAAGCCCGGTATACATGAGTCCGGTTCGGAGTGGCTGCTCTCGTCTCGTGTACCACATGGTCATGACCAATAGGTTGCCTGGAACAATGGGGGCTTCGAGCATACCCAAAATGACACGTAGGGCGATCAGGGTTGCAAAGTTGTTGGCAAACCCAGTACCAATCAGAACCAGTCCCCAGACAATTTGAGCAACAAACATTAACTTGGCGATCGGGAACCGTTGGAGAAGACTGCCGGATGGAAAACACCAAAAGAGATATCCAAACTGATCACTCCATTAGCATCGAATTCACTCAACTTGCCCTGCGAGAAGCTTACATAAAATGCACTTCCAACCCAACTATACCGATCTCCGGTCAGTCCCGTGTCTGTCTTGAAACCATACAGAGCTGCAGTTGCAGTTGTGACCTTGTCCATGGCACCCAGCGTGACATTAAACCACAGGAGTGGAACGAGCCGGAGGTCAAGCTTCCATCTGAGTCGTGTCCATTCCTTTTTGCTGTATGCGCCTTCGCCGTTCAACTGGTGTGCATAGGCGGCAGCAACATCGCCATCGCTCGTCGAGGCTACCTTGCCGATACCGATTGAGGATGAGTCCTCCATCTCGGCAGGGGTAACATCTGGCTTCTTGATATTTGCCATAATCTCTCGGACAATTTGACGTGTCGAGAAGCGCCGTGGAATAGTAGGTAAAACTGTTAGACGGAGTCTTTAAGCCAGGAAAAAGGATCACGGTCTCGGTCGGATGATGTGGATTCACGAACTTGATTTATCATCTTGGCTACTGTCTACATACTATCTCGATTGCCTGACCCCCGCGCCTGAGCGGTGGAGTCGGTTCTCGTGGTACTGGTAACACACCATGGAATCTCGGACGAGATAAGAATCGTCATGGCTGTTGAATGTCTGTGAGAACTAGCAAGAAGATGACATTGATATGGCTCCAGGTCCCAATCACTGATCTTACTAAAGGTGACATGGGCTTGGGCTAATACAGTCTTGGCCTTGGAAAAGTGGAGAAGAACGGACGTTGATGTGCGACGCGGTCTCTCAAACCCCGAAGGCGGCCAGCTAACCTTGGTATTGAGTTCAAGTACTGCAGATTACAAGGGAGGTCAAGTCATGTAGGGTAGTGCAGAGTATGCAGTGGAACATGTCTGGGGATCGGCCAATTGTCTGTCGATACTTTACTACAGAGCTTTATAGCGACGCTTGTTGCAAAATGAACTTTGCGCCTTCCTAGGGCTGCGCATACACCGCCTATTTTTATATTTACCCTATACCCTAAAAATTTTAGCTATTTAAACTATAACTATATTTTCCTAACCTTTATATAATTATATTAACTATATAAAATTAAGCTATATACGTATTTGTCCTATTATACCTTTATTATTCGTTTTTTGGTATTGCTAAAGCTTTTTGTATTTTTTTTTACGTATTATATCGATATTTTAGATTTTAGGTATATTTTAGCCTATACTTTTTAAATTTAATCGAGCTAAATTAACTATTAATAACCTTTCGATAATTTGCGTTAAATACCTAAAATTTTATTATTATATATCGGGCAATTATCGCAGTTTTTAGTATTAAAATAATTAAATTATATATATAATAATTTATATTAGCTATAGCGCTTTTAAAATTATATAAATTTAACGGCAAAAATTAAAAAAAGTTTTTTATAACCCGTTAAATATATAAAAATAACGCTAAAATTACCGTATAATATATAAAATATTTATTAAAATATAATAATAATAATATATTTATTTTTTTAAATAAAATTTAATAAATATTTTTTTATTTTATATATTTTTTTTTATTTTCCCGAATTAAATATTTAAAATATATAATATATATCGTTTAATATTTATTATATATATAATAATATTTAGTTTTTATTTTTTAATATTTTTTAAATATTTTTTTAAATTTTTAAATATTTGCTTTATATTTTTTTATATTTTATATATATAGCTTATATTATACCCGTATATTTTATATATATTTTATATATTATTTACTAAATTTTTACGATATTTGCGGAATATTTATTTATATATATTTAGTAAGTGATTTAGTGATTATAAACGCCGAAAAAAAAAATTCGATAAAAAGATTAAGAAATTTATTAATATTTATATAAAAATCGATAATAAAACTTAAATAGCAGTATTAATATAATATATTTTTTTGCCCGATAAGGAATTTATCGTAAATAAAGAGGATAAATACTATAATTTATATTCGAATTTATGCAATTAAGGCTTTATTAAATTTTATATTTCGGGCTAATATTACGTTTATAATAGTGTTTATTTAAATTATATATATATTAATATCGTAAGTAAATATTTTTTTTGTAAAAATATATATTTCGTATATAAATAAATTAATTAATATTAATCGATATTTTTAAATATAAAGGAGAAAAAAAAAAAAAAGGCGAAGCATTGCTTTTTTTAAAAAATACGCTTTAAAATAGCTCGAAAATATAATTTTAAATACGGTATAAAAATAATTAAAGGTTTTTAAGCTAAAGCTAGGAAATCGCTCAAAAAAAAAAATTACCGCCTAAAAAATAGCGATATATATAAAATATTAATATTAAATATAATATTACGTAATATATATAAAAAATATATAAGCGTAGCTATAATTTAGGTATTTAAATAATTTTTAAGCCGATAATAATCGAAATGCCGTAAAAATAAGTTATAAAAATCGAAATTATATATATTATATAGAGTATATCTATAAAACGCGTTTAAATTACGAATATATTTTAAAATTTATAAAATTCTAGCTTTAAAAAATTAAAAATATTTTAGCGTTTAGTAAAAGCGAATTTTTTATTATAATAAATTATTAATATAAATATTATAAAATTACGGCTATTTAAAAAAATATATTTTTAATTAAGCTCGATTATTTTTAAATTTGCTCGATTAACTAATTTTAAATACCTTTATCCGTTATTTTATTATATTTTTATAATTATTTATTTTATTAAAGCAAATAATAAATAGGCGGAACGCTTTTTTAATTAAGCTTTTAAAAAGCGAGCTTATTAATATATATAATAAAAGCGTTAAATTTAAAATAATAAAAAATTTTATTAAAAAGCATTTTAGTTTTACCGTTTATTACGTTTTTTTTAGCGTTACTTTAAAATTTAGGGGCTTAATTTGCGGCGAATTCGAATACGAAAAACCGAAAAGCTGCGATCGGTAATAAGCGATTATTATTTTTATTAAAATTTTCCCGATAAATTAATTTATAAAGCATTATAAAAAAATAAATTTAATATTATATTATATACCGTTATCCGTTTTCGAAAAAAAGCTTAATTATTTTAACGGATAAGCGAAATAATTATCGAAAAGCGATAAGCGGAGCTAATAGCTTATTTTTTTAAATAATTTTAATTATAGCTATTATTTTATCGCTTTTTTTAACGCGAATTTATCCGTTATATATATAGCGAAGCTAATATTATTATATCGAAACGATATATTATCGAAATATATAATAAATTTTAGGGTAAATATAAAAAAAAGCGTAAAGACCGAATACGGCGATAATATAATAGATAAATAGTTTTTAGGCTAAATTTTATTTAGTTAATTAATAGCTATTATAAGCTAGCTTTATTCGGATTCGAAATATATACCGTAATCGATATATATTCGCGGTTTATTATTTAGTTTTATTATAGGTATTTTATTTTTATATAACGCTTTATAGCTTTTTAATATATATAAGCAATTCGAATATATAATGCTTTATTTATATTAATTAGGTCGGATTATAAAAATAAAATATTAATAACGGTAAATATATATTATTAGCTTTCGGCGGGTATAATTATAATTCGGCAAAGGCGATTTTACCGGAATACTAATAGCGATATAATATTTTAGAATTAAAACAAATATTAGGTTTTAATTAATACTAAAATATTCGATTTTAATATAGTTTTTTAGTATTATTATAAAGGGCTATTATTAATAAAAGACGTTTAAATTTACGGAAAAAATACCTTTAATTAACGGATTAAATTTTGGTAAAATCGTATAAAAAAATCATAATCGTATTTTTAAGTTATAAATTTTTTAAGAAAAAAAAGCAAATTTAAATTAATTATTCGTATTTAGGATTATTTTTATAATTTATTAAATTAAGGTTATTAAATAAAAAAATCGCTTGCCGATCGTATAACGCTATTATATATTTTTATAAATTAAATTCGGTACGATTTTAAAATTTACGTAAAATATTGGAATTTTTATAAAATTACTTAATAAAAACGTCGCCGTTATATTATTTTCGGATAGCTAAATACTTTATATTATTAGCCCGATAACGAAATATTTATTTAATATAAGGTTTTATTTAATAAAAATTATTTAGAAACGTTAAAATAAATTATTAACACGGACGGGCTAAATTTAAAAGCATATTTTTTTATTTATATTATAAAAATTTGCGATTTATATATAAATATATTTTTATTAAAATAAAAGAAAAAATATTATAAAAAAAGCTATTTTTTAAGGAGTATTTATATTTGCGTAAACGCTTAAAAAAGCATATAAATAAATTTAGCGGAAATTTATTATAATTACTAAATAAATTTACCGGTAGATAGGATACGATAAATAAAAATTTACGTATTATTAATATTAATATTAGCGAAGCCGAAAAGGAATTAAAATTTTTACTTTTTAAAAACGATAAATTAAAATATATAAATAAAGCGACGTAATTTAAATTTAATCGAGCTTATTTAATTTAAAATAAATTACTTTATATAAAAATATTTATAATAAGATAAAATAAAATATATAAATAAAAAGCGATTTTAGTTAGATTTTTTATAATATAATTTTTAAATTAAAATATAAAATATAAATAATACTAAATTATGCTTTATTTAGTAATTTTGCTTATAGCATTATTATTAGCTTTTAATTACGATTTTTTTTAATAGCCCGGGTTATAAGAGGGGCGGGAAAAGGTTGTTTTTTTTACCCGCTATTATTTTAGTTAGCGATTTTTTGCTATTTGCCGGACGGCTTTTGCTAATTTTGCGTAATAGGATTAATTTAGAATTTTTATTTTTTTTAATAGGGTGGATTTTTCGATATTTAATATCGGCTTTCGTTTCCGTTTCTATATTATTAGCGTTATTTTTAAATCCTGCCTTTTTTTTTTAATAAATTCCTTTTATTTATTAAATTTTATATTTTTTAATTCGCTAATTTATTAATATTATAAAAAAAATCGTTATCGTTAATAAATAATTTAGGTTTTTTTTTTATTTTGCGGGATTAGTATAGGCTCGTTATTAACGGTATTATTTTTAGGATTAAAATTATTTTAAAGGTTTTTATTATTTTATATATTAGAAAGAAAAATACGGATATAAGCAGTTTCGTTAGTTTTTTTTTATTTATAAGGTTTAAGGGTATATCGAATAAACATTTTTATAAAAATTAGCTCGTTTTTATTAAAGTATAAATTATTAATTTCGGTTTTGCTTTTTTTCGATTTGCTAATATCGGCGACAAATTTAAAGTATTTAGCGATAAATTATAATCGGCTTTATTTATTAGTAATTATTAAAAATTTTTAAATTAATTTTTAGTAATTTATATATTAGGCGCGTATACGTATTTAAAAAGGGTTATAATTAAATATCCGTATTATATCGAAATATTTTTTAAAAATAAGATTATTAATGCTAACGCTATTTTTTAATTTTATAAAATAAATATTTTCGTATTAATATTTATAAATATATATAATAATTTTTTTTTTAAATATATAAATTTTTTTAAGCAAAGCGGCAGTAATTCGAATGCTAATTTATTAATATCGCAAA